GCTGGGATTGCCCCAACCCAGATGCCCCAGACCCCTCGGGGAGTGGCCGGAGCCTGAGAGTACCTGCCAGGGGCCAGGGTGTTTTGCGAGACCCCACCACCGGTCTCTGTCCTGCCCACACCATGGGGAGCAGTGACAAAGCCAGGGGGACCCCTCGGCTCTAAGCCCTGGCTCGGGAGGGGTTTTTTTGGTTTTTCCCTGCTGGCTTCGGAGGTCAGTTTAATTTTCTCACGTGGCTTTGTCGATAGAAGACGTATGGTGACATTACAGACCGGCGCAAGCTGAGGGAGCAGCTCCACTGCAAGAACTTCACCTGGTACCTCCAGACCATCTACCCAGAGTTGTTCGTTCCCGACCTAACTCCAACGTTTTATGGAGCAGTAAGTGCCTGGAGCATCCTGCTGGGCTTAGCCCTTGGCTAGGAATAGCCACAGCAGTGAAGCCCCCAGAAGGTTGGGCTGGGGAATTGGCATTTGAACCAGCGTGCCGGAGTGTCCCGGTGTAGCCAGGTCTGTCACCGCTGGCAGGGCCGCTCCGGGCTCTGGCTGATAGTGAAAGAGCCGGAATCCAGCAGAGCTGGTTTGGGGCAAGTGACAGGGTTGGGGACCTGCAGGGACATGGCAGTGGGTTAAATCGGGTGAATGAGCTGAAGGTTCCATGAACCCCGTGCCCGCACTGGCTTGAAAATCCGATCTGGGGCTGGGCAGGATGCGAGGCACCGGCTCCATCCCCTACCATGGAGCTGCCAAAAAAGCCCCTTTCCTCTGAGCCTGGGCTGGGGTCTGGGTCCTCAGCCTGGGCGACAGGAAGGAGCCGCTGGATGTGGCAAGGGCTGGGCACTGGCTCCCGTCCAGGTTGTAACTCACCTCTATTTCCTGAAACCTTGTCCCAGGCGGCTCTCGCCTTTGGCTCGGTGGGATGGAGGCGTGGGCATTTCTATTGTCCTGGAAAGGACAAGGGACCCGGACGCAGCGCCTAGTACCGGGATCGTGTTTGTACAGGGATAATTAAGTGCCCTGCAAAGCCCAAACCCAAGGCGGGTCCCCATCCCGGGACCTTGGGGCCCAGCTCACACCCCTGTCCCTTTCCCTCCACCTGCAGATAAAAAACGAGGGCACCAAGAGCTGCCTGGACGTCGGTGAGAACAACCACGGTGGGAAACCGCTCATCATGTACCCCTGCCACGGGATGGGGGGCAACCAGGTGGGCACCCATCAACCCCCGGGGTGTGTGTCCCCTGTAACCCCCTGCCTTTCCCCTGGGGGTCACTTTCTCGTCTCGCAGCAGCGTGACGTCCCCTCTCTGGTCTTGCCCCCCCCCCAGGATTTTGAGTACACGAGCCTGCGGGG